TGTGAAGCTCGCACACAAGAATTTCACTCACATGTGCTGTACCAATGTACCTGCACATGTGATGTGACAATAAAAGTGATTTGATTTGATTTTGACCTTGTGTGGAATGTGTGCAGGTGAGCCTGACGGTGGATCACCCACAGAAGGTGCTGCTGATGGGTGAAGCTCAGGACTACGGTATCTGCAAGGGTGTGAAGAGGAACGGAGAGCCATGCTCGCAGATAGTTAACATGGTTAGTCTGTTCTATCGTGTTTTCTGTACCTAAATGATTATCCTGTTGCCTTAAACTTCCATCTCCTCCACAGTATGAGTGCCCATACTGCCAGTATCATGTCAAGGCCCAGTATAAGAAGATGAGCTCAAAAAGGGCCGAGCTGCAGTCGTCGTTTTCCGGAAGAGCGCCCAGTAAAGTCATGGGGAAGGGGAAGGCAGGTGGCCTGAGAGAGCGGATTTGTCAGGACGGTTTCTACTACGGCGGCGTGTCCTCTGCTGCCTGTGCCGCCTCACTGTGAGTGTGTTTTTTTCCTATTACTAAAGTTCAGGTCAGTCAGACTGTAAGAGGAAGCTCTTTCTACTTTCCCTTTACATCTACAATATAACAAATGAAGAACAATGCAGTAAAATCAATAAAAACTTGACTCAGCTGTTTCTGTTAGTATCCTCTGCAGCAGTTAGTCATGCAGGCTTTGGTCATAACCCTGTCCAACACAGATTCTGGCTTTAACTGGATTTTCAAATCAATAGTGTGTGCTGAAGTCAGTTTGCGCAAGTTAACTGCCACCCTTACAAAACCAGGAACACAGTGTGGGACTGAAAGCATCCAAGCTGCTGCATTTTCAGTAACAAGCCTGTGTGTTGCAGGACCGCGTCCAAACCAAACAAACCCACCCAGAAAACTCTGGACAAGCTGTTTGTGAGAGGCTCGGCTCAGCTCATCAGTCAAGCCAAGAGGCTCGGTAAGGACTGCTAGATTCTCTCACACTCACAGATTTGAATCATTCCTCATGGAAGTTGATGTTTACAAGCCTGATGTCGTAGGTGACAGATATATAGAATTGCACAGGAGTATTTTTTGCTTCAAACCCTTTTTTCCTTACCCCGACTTTCAGATCTAAAAATTGTTTTCTCCTTTGATTAAAATACTGATGTAGTTTTCAATCCTGTCGGTAATTTTAGGAGAGATCGATGAACAAAGGCAGAAGGGAGTTCCCTATTTCAACTGTTTTTGCTTGTGTGTGTTTGTAGCCATGCAGTCTGGTGAAGTTGCAGGTTGCTCAGATGAATTTAAGAGCCTGATGTCGGTGCCAACACCTGGAGCTTTGCAGCTGAAGAAGCATCTCACGCAGGGCAGCCAGTCAGGTACACAACCTGCAAATCTTTTGCACTTTTTGGCAAGCTAGGTTATATTAAAGACGCGTTTGATTACAGTGTTGTGAACTCAGTCATCTGTCTCACACACATACCAACAAAAAAATCTTATTTGGCATCCTCAGTTTCCAAAGAAACATCGGGAGCTCCTCTTCAGTCCATCTCAGCCTCAGACCTGCTGAAGCACCAGAAACGGAAGCAGCGGGAGCTCCTGGAGAGCCGGCGGAAAAGGGTGGAAGAAGTTCAGAGAAGGTCGCTGCAGAACTCGGGGGGTGCGACAGGCCAAGATTGTTTAATGTCACCAAAAGCTGCTTCTGAAGTCCCCACGGCCTCCCAAAGCCCGGCGGCGCCCCACACTCCGACCCTGGGCCGAGGCTTCTCCAAGGGAGATGATATCCTCTTCTTTGATACCAGCCCCCCTCCAACTCCTTCTCCCAGCACCCTCAACCTATCAGCTGCCAAGCTGGCTGCTCTGAAGAAGCTAAGGGCTAAAGACACGGGGCTGGTGAAGGAAGACCCCAACGCTGTGAAGAGGAAGAGGAGTGACAGCAGTGAGATCAATGCCCGAGTAGAGCGGAATCGAACCTCACCCAGTGGTACGCATTTCAGTTTTTTCCAGTGTAATTCATACATCTAGATAGCTATCCTCTTTTTTTTTTAACTTTCTTGTAAAGTTTTAAATTAAAGATAACAATTATTTGTTATTTTAGCAGTACGGTACCTCACAGGATGGCAGGATATTGTTGCCTCTGTACCTTGACTGCATAATGTTATCTTTTTGTTGTTTTTGTTGTTTGTTGTGCTGCCACAGATTCTTGGGAACACAGGTCTTTATCTTTTTATGCTGAAGTAAACTTACCGTTGCCTGTTTTATGGTTCTTTTCTTTGTCTGAAGCCTCAGCTAATGAGGAGGAGGAGCCGGTGCAGAAAAAGAAGCGAGAACAACTCGACTATGTCCAGTCAGAGGAGTTTCAGAAGATCCTGAAAGCCAAATCTCGCCACGGGATTATACTTCAAGCAGTATGACCAGTGACATTTGATGATGCATAGATGGATATGAAAAACCAAATTTAGTGCAAATTTATAAGTTTGCTGGCTTACAAAGAATTGAACTTCCTCTAATTTTTATGGTAGTTTCATTTTAATGGGAAGAATCAGAACCAAAATGCCAGAAAAAACATGTTAGTTATAGTTATAAGGTCATGGAGTGGCCTCAGCCAGTCTCCAGACTGCAGTCCTGTAGAAAACCTGTGGAGGGAGCTGAAGCTTTGAGAGTTTCTGTAAAGAGGAGTGGGCTAAAATCCCTCCTGAGATGTGTGCAAACCTGGTGACCAAGTACGACAAATGTCTTACTGACATGAGTCATGTTTTGCTTGGGGATTAAATTCATATTTCTCTTAATGACTAAGGTATAAATATGTATACGATATGGTTGGTTGATAGTGTCTCTCTTCATTAAAATTAAACAAATATAATTCGATTCACTTTTGTCTATACAGTGCCAAATCACAGCAACAATCACCTCAAGACACTTTATATTGTAAGGTAGACCCTACAGTAATACATATAGAGGAACCCCCCCCCCATGAGCGTGCGGCCAGTTAAAAATTAGAAGGTTAATTTCTTTGGAAATGAGCAAGCTTACAAATTCAGCATGGTATCCAATAACCTTTTTTCACCCCATTGTATATTTCTTAACGAATAGCTCTCTTTCTCTTTCAGGCGGAGTACCAGCTACAAGAGCGCTACTTCAATGTTCTGGTGAAGAAGGAGCAGATGGAGGAGAAGATGAGGAACATCAGAGAGATGAAGTGTCGGGCTGTCACCTGTAAAAAGGTACTGAGCCAGAAGTTGAATTCACCGCTGACCCAGGTGTGGTGTGGTTGTCTATCAGAAGTCACTGAAGTAAACCGTTGTTATTCTTCTGCTGGTTCCAGTGTAGTTACACCTACTTCAAGCCGGCGGATCGTTGTGTAGAGGAGAACCATGATCTGCGGTGGCACGAGGCAATGAAACGCTTCTTTAAATGTCCTTGTGGACAGAGAGCCATTGCTCTGGACAGACTGCCACACAAACACTGCAGGTAAGACAGTGGCTTTCTGACAAGGCCTGGCAGAAACACTGAAATGATGTGTACACTGTAGTGGGACTGTGGGACTCGCCAACTCATTAGTCATTTTGCCTTTTCAGCAACTGCGGTCTGTTTAAATGGGAACGAGATGGGATGTTGAAGGTAAGCTGTCACAGATTACCAATTTAAAAGTTTAAAGCAACATTTGATTGAAACAAAGTAGACTGATCACACACTTGATGTTTCGTTGCAGGAGAAAACTGGCCCTAAGCTTGGTGGAGAGCTCCTCCTGCCTCGAGGAGAGGAGCATGCCAAATTCCTCAACAGCATGAAGTGATTTATTATTGAGGGAGCAACCTATAGACTTTTATGTTTGTAATTTAAGGTTTTACCAGGCTTTCATTAGTATCAGGTCTGTTTTTAAATTTTGACATTATGTAGCTCTTGAGTGTCTGTGGTGATACCAGATGTGCTGCAAATTGGCTGATTAAAGCTGATTAAAGATTTTATATGTACAGACTGTTTTTCCCTACAAGAGAAGAATTTCTGCTCACCTATATTGGCACAGAAACACCCTCTAACACGCTCCATATGTTGGTGCCAGGCGGAGCCAGGTGGCACTTACTCAATTCTTTGAGCCAATCCACATGGCTTTAAAGGTCTGAGGTGGAATCACAGTATAGAGATAAAATAAGCTTTTCTGGGGTTGAAGCTGTGTGATTAGCAAGTGCAGAGTGCCATGCCACATCATTGTGAGGCTTTTATTTTTGCTCGCTATCCCGTCGCTGCTTGTTTCCCCCCCCTTCTTTCTCTTCACTGAGCACTTTGTGTCTAATATTTCCACTCTGGAATGTGGGATCCATTTCAGGCTGATGATTTCTGCAGCTCACCTCCTCTTTTATTCCAAACTGCCTACCTCCCTTTAAGTAAAACTCAAAATACCAGACAGTGGAAGTGTGAGGAAAAGCACATCATTGGAAATTCATCTTTATTTGTCATTGTGACTTGGATATGAAGGACAGTTTGTTGGAAAAATTAAGCTACAACTCTTATCTGGCAAAACCATTTGTGTATAAAAGGTTGGTTTCTTGCCGCTAATACAGCACATCAGGCTGAAACGACATTATATAGCTTCAATGTACATATAAAAAAAACCAAAAAAGCATGCAAAATTTCTGCCCAACAGTACAAAAGTTGATCCTTACAGTTTAACAATGAAGACATATATTGCACTCTTTAAGTTGTATACAGAAATCAGGTTGAGAAAAAGGTGTAGATTAAAGTGGGACAAATACAGAAACCACTTGCACTCAGAGTCGGGCTGTCACCTTCAGTACGGGGTAAAGGTTGTGGCAGTGAGAGCTGCTGTTGCCCAGCTCTCTGTGATTGAGGATGCTTAGTGGAACCAGTAGTAGCGAGGAGAGAGACCATCGTAATGAAACTCACGCAACTGCTCATTTGTCTCTCTTGACCTCTCATTAACCTCTGTAGATGGAAAAAGAAAGAAAATCATAATTAAGGCAATGCAATAAGCAAGCATATAACAAACTATATGTAAAATATGTTGAAAGCCACTGTGACAGCACAGTATTCATAATCACATTGTATTCCTGCTCTACTGTAGTTTACAAAATAAAAAACGAGTTTGAACTAGCGATTGACACCATAAAACAATAGGGAACATTGTAGCCTGGCATGGGTGTTGTGGAAGGAAAAGACTGATGAAAGGAATACACAACCACTGGAGCAAGAAAATCAGATGCAACAGGTCTGTAGAATTTAGACTGCAAACTGATGCGGAACATGGATCTCCTCTCTGAGTCCCAACTCTGACAGAGGGTTCTTCCTATATCATGCTATATAAATGAAACCAAATTGGATTGTTGTCAGGAGAGATATGTAACAGTCATTTGTAAAAGACGATGGCGGCAGAGTCATGGTTTGTGGCTGCATTTTACATGGGGGAACACAATCAATCAGAACTGGCCTTCCCAGAGCTCAGACCTTGATAATGAAGCAGTGTGGGATAATCTTGACAGCAAATGGAACAAGAGGCAGCCAACATCCAAAAAACACAGAGCTTTGGAAGATCTTTTAAGATGCCTGGAGAACTATTTCCGAAGACTACTATAAGACTTTACAAGAAAGCTGGCAAAGAGAGTTCATGCTAAACTAAAGAATAAAGGTGGTCACATTAAATATTGATTTTTAAGCCTGTTAGAATTGTTAGACAAACTGTTTTTACCTTCTATAAAGCGCATTTCCTTTTACACGTTCAATAATTTGTTACACCTGTTTCCTATTTTCTGAGGTGGCTCAAGACTTATCAGAGTACTGTGCAAACTTTTTCCAACATACAATTTTAATGCTATACTTTAATCCTCACTCTTACACCTCATTTTATTTTTGTACTGGCGGGAAGCAGTTCATCAAACAAAACCGATGAGTAGATGCTATCAGGTGGAGGTGACTGTAGTGGGTCATATAAAGAGGAGGTTGTTTCAATCTATCCACTGTCTATTAGCATATACAAAAAGAACTGAAATATTCCATACATAGCCTGAAATGTGGCTCTAAAGTATAATGCTTTTCATTATTAGCAGTGCCTTAAATTCTTAGCTAGCTAGGCTAGTGTTAGCAAAGCTGAGTTTTTACAGACCCTATTTACAATGAGGACAAATACTGTTGACTGCTATGCCTTAGCCTCCTAGTAGATGCGCCTATGGTATGAATTTTAAAATTCCTACATTGCTTTTTTTCCCAGTTACCACATTCCCAAGATTTTCAGAAAACCTGACCTCTTAAACTCAGCGGAGATTTTTAGTATGCTAGGCGCACCTATGGTATCAATTTGAAACTCCGATGATGGCTTGCTCTCAAGTTATTGCATTAACAAATTTGAGAGTAGACACCGCCCACCCACGACGACTACAACAATACGCTATCAGCTTAATATGGGTGAGGGGTAAAAAACATTTATGCTACCTCTAAGTTGCATTCCTGAGTTAGGCAATTGATTCTTCTTAACTATAATCTCAACTGCTTTCAGAAGCTAACAATAAATCTATCAAAAAGTGAAATTTTATGAAACCCTTGCTGCGAAAAGTAAATCACACTAACTTGATAATAATAACATAATTAACTATAGCTCATCTTTTGCACAGTATAGAGAATTTGTTGGCCCCATAGCAAAGCAATGTATGTGCTCACCTCAGAGTAATTCAGGTATTATTCAAAGTTTGGTATCGCAATATTTCATCCATTCTTTATGGTTCACCAACTTGATTTTAAATGCAGCATAAAGTGATAAAAATGGACCGAGACATGAAAATACGAATTCTGTGTTGGCATTCGGTTGAGACCTTGTTTATCTTTAGAACTTGTTGACCCAAACCGTGCAAACACCGTCTCTCACAAATAAAACCCAGTCCCATCTTTATGGTTAGCAGTTCTTAGTTTAGAAACTGTGAATGCAGCTATATCACAAGTGACAGACGACCACAGGGAAGATTGTCAGCTTGGGATCAACCACAAATAGACACTTTGATTTGGTGTGGAGTCTCAGGCACTGTGCTGTGGTTCAACGGCTCGTGGGTGCCAGAAGATCCAAACTTAATCTTTGTCCCTCAGTGTGGTCTCGACTGAGGCCTCTCATGGTGACTAACATTCAAGTAATTGTCAGTTTCCTGTAAGAGTGAGCTCAAGTTGGCTGTTGCAATATCGCCTATCTTTTCTGTTATAGTGCTTCATTAGGGGTCTCAAAGCAGATTGATGTTTCCATTACTATTTCTGTTAAATCAGTGACAATGATTCATGATTATTTGTTCTTGCATTTTTTTTTACTTGAGGTGTTTTGATAATTTCACCTTCAGCACACAGAAACAATGACTTTAAGTAAGCATTTGGTATTTAATTGAAAATTCCTTTCCTGTTTTCATTAGCGCTATAAACAGGATAATAGGAAAATGTTTTCCCCTGCTGTGTATTTCCTAATTTGATGTATTGTTGTGCAATCTCAGCAAAATGTAGACTTGAGGGAACATATCTAATAGTAGGAGTCATAGAATCGCCAGATGCCGTAACGTAATTTTTGTTTCATGGTGTTAAATCGGAGCGCACAGGAACCTGCTTTAAAGAAACCAGGTGAATTCAGGTCTTACCGTCTCGGTCCTCCTCAACATAGTTCTCATATTCGTTCCTTTGTTCCTCATTGTACTCCCTCCTGCGCTCATCGGCTGCCATTTTCACCTTCTGCTCAGCTGTTGGTGATGGAAAGAGTTATTTGCTCACAAAATAGTCAAAATAGAAGGTTGTATTTTTTCACATGTTCAAAACTGTTTTAGTAGTTTTTACTTCCATGGTCTGATTCTACTGTAACCTTTCTTTTTTATTCATTTTTGATTAATCATTTTATTCCATTATTTACCTTCTAATTGGGATAAACATCTAAAATATTGTGTGAACATTATCCCAGGTACAGGTACAGCGTAGGCTCTTTATGGATTAGATAAGACTTCTAATCCATACATAGTACCTGTAGGTCAACAGTAGCTGCAGTGTGGGAAATAATTATATTTGATGCCTTGCTGAATTTGTATTTGAAGTTTTCTCACTTCAGAAGAAATGAAGAGACTTTTTTAGTAGTTCCATTTTAATGGAGAGACACCGATAGACTGCTGCTTGCCCATTTGCCAAATAGACCACAATCAGTCAATCAATTACACCTGTCCACAGAATCAATTCCTTCTCCACCAACATGTGCAAGACCAAAAAGCTGTTAAGGGACATGGACCTGCAAAACGCTGCAATGGGCTACAAGACCATTAGCAAAAAGCTTGATGAAAAGGTGACAACTGTTTGTGCGATTATTTGGAGATGGATGAAATATAAATGGCCATCAGTCACTCTTGGTCTGGAGCTCCATGCAAAATCCTACATTGGGTGAAGATGATCATTAGAAAGTTTGTGGATCAGCGTAAAACTATATGGGGGAGCTTCCAAAAGATCTGAAGGCAGTTGGGACCAGTCACAAAAAACACCATTGGTAACACACTACACCATAATGGACTGAAATCTTGCAGTGCGCCCAGCTCAAGAAGGTACAGATAAAGGCCTTTGTTAAGTTTGCCAGTGAACATCTAAATTTTTCAGAGAAAGTTTTGGGAAAAGTGCTGTGGTCAGATGAAACCAAAATCGAGCTCTTTGGCATTAGCTCCACCTGCCATATCTGTGAGAGGGAAAATGCTGAGTATGACCTAAAGTCAAGCACGGAGGTGGATTATTATGCTTTGGGGGTTTTCTGCTAAGACTACATGACACTGCATTGAGGTGCCAATGGATGGGGCCATGTACAGTAAAATCTTGGATAAGAGGCTTCTTCCCTCAGCCAGAAAAATGAAGATGGGTCATGGCTGGATATTCCAGCATAATAAACATAAAAAACATATCGCTAAGACAACAAAGTCTAATGTCCTCTTGTATTCTCCAACAGATTTAAAAATGGAAA